ATTAAGAGTCCTAAACTCACAAATACATGAAGACAGACCACCACTGCAGGTTTAGTTTTTTCACTTTAAAAAAAAGAATGTGAGAAGAATCAGACAATAATGCATGCACAGGTTTTCCCCTCGCTCCTCACCACACTGTTCAAATGAAGCCTCAACAAAAAAAAAGGGGACTTTCCATAGACTGTAAATAAAAGTAGACAAAGCCTGAGTGACACACATTGGTTCCTGCAGGGGGGCTTTGGAGTCTCATCGATGGCGGACGCCATGCTGGAAATGCTGAGTCAGCCTAACTTTCATTCGCCCTAACGACAGACTGAAGCCTGGCTCACATTGCAGGAGTTTTAAAAAACTTCCTGATTTTGAATTTGAGTAGCAACACACACACATCCGGAGAATCCAAAATCTCGCACTACAAGATATCGCAAAACGCATCACATACTGCAGGATTTCCTTAAGATTATCCTGCCCGACGAAGGAACGCAGTACCTCGCGTTACCTCAAATCAGTACAATTATTGGCCTGATTTTCCGGCAGTCTGAGCGAGGCTCCAGAGCTGGAGCGGAGGCGGGTTTTAAGCCTCCTGACAAATCGCTACACCGCATCCGCCTGTCAATCAGATCAGACTCTGGTCTACCTGTGCATAACTCGTATCATTCATAAAATCAAAACAGATTAATTGTTGAAAAAAAAAATTGAATGGGGTGCGTATGTGACCTCCGGGTCTTCCACAGCCAGCCTCAAGCGGACTCTTGGGTTGCCGCTTGTTTCATTCACAACATAAAAGTGAACCTTAAAAGGCATAAAATAACAGTCAGTAGAGGCAGAACTTTAACAAGTCTGCATGAAGTCAGGGGGACAAGGACAATCTCCTGCTGTGAGGTGCACATCGAACATAGAACATGTCCGGAGTTTAAGTCTGAAAGGGGTCTAAGAGAGCGGAGTGGGATTTTCCGGCACAACTTCACCAACTACCAAGCTGGGTGCATGAAGAGTGAAAGGCTAAGAGGTCAAAAAGAAACACTTTTAGTGTGAAGATCAACTTTATTAACGAATCACACCGACATGTTTTGGCTTGTGGCCTTCATCGGGGTCATGAGGGGCTAAGAGAGTAAAATGATTTAACCCTTCATGATGCTACCAAACATGCAGCTCTAGCCTCTTTTAGCGTGACATCATCCATCATATGAGTGTCTATAAAACCTTTAAAATGAGTCAGAAGGAGATATTTAAGTTGGCAGGAGAATGTATGCACCAGTGAGTTTAACATTAAGTTTTATCAGCTACATTATGAGTAGGTGACAGTTTTTATTTCCGCCCACAAAGATGAAAGCAGCTAGAAAGAAAAAAGGGAAAACTGAATATTTCATAGATATGGAAAACAGAAATAAAGACACAGCGACTTTTAGTCACCTGCATGAAGCATTCAAATTTAGTCAAAGTTTTTCTGCAGTTCATTTTGAAATCTACAAAATATAGCGAAAGAAGTCACCTTTCATGAAATCAGAATGAGGTAAGACAACAAGAGGGTCAAACACAAGTGTGCAGACGGGTCTCTCCCCCACATGTACTCACAGACGGACAGAAACAAAGGCCGATTGTGACAAGAAGCTGAAGGAATTTATGGGATGGCACTTTGACAGCACATCCTCTCAGTGTGCCGCAGTCAGGAGGTCAATGTGTGTGTGTGTGTGTGTGTGTGTGTGTGTGTGTGTGTGTGTGTGTGTGTGTGTGTGTGTGTGTGTGTGTGTGTGTGTGTGTGTGTGTGTGGGCGTCACACTCCATAATGTTCTGCTGTGGGTGTAAAATATTCCATATTGTATTTCCTGTATAGAAAAACCTGATTTATTGCAGATTTTCTTTTTCCATGGGAACATGTTTTGAGCAGGGTTGCGTTCATGGGCCTGGAAAAAAAACACGAACACTGTGTTTCCAGACCTCTTCTCCTCCCTTTGGGACTTTTGTTTTGTTTTTAAATGTCTGCTGCTCTGATAAGTGAGCGCTTTCCTGATGACAGGCTCGTGTGCTGACAAAGGGAAAAACATGACATCGATTTTTCTTTCTCTCGGTCGAGAACCATGAGGTTTTCAACACCCACTGTTCAAACAAACACGGGCGACCACATTTCATCTGATGGCCTCTCTGTTTTGGAGAGGTTGTGTGGTAACTCCAGGCGTTACGACTGAAACTACAAAAATTCTTCTGAACGAGGAGACTTCACAGATCGAGCATCTTCACTAGAGGATACACAGCGCAGATTTAATCGCACAAAGTAAGCATGACAAGGGACAAACCAAAGATCAAAAAGGCAAAATGAAGGTGTTCAAAATGCACACAATAACGTAGAATGGTGGTCAAGTGTTCAGATCTTCAGTCAAATAATCAACCAAACTCCTTCAGGAAAGAGAGAGTAATGTATTTGTATTTGTTTTTTGTAGTTAGAAACAAGAAATTACCAAATATTTGACTTGTAGTTTTGTTGCCGTGGTATCAAAACAGGATTCAAATCGTACCAAAGTCTAAAAATCTGTCATAGTTCGACCCCTGTAACATTAAGATAAGAGATGGCACTGGCCCCACAGGGTGGTGAGTTCGGTTCAGACGGGCCTTCAAGAGGAATTCGGGGGTCAGATTGGTAAACGCCTGAGCCTCCCCCCACATAATGACTCTCAGATGTGCCTCTCTCTCTCTCTCTCTCTCTCTCTCTCTCTCTCTCTCTCTATCTCCCCATGGTCGCTAACTGGAAGCTCCTGTCATCTTGATTTTTCTCACAGCTCATGTCTCTCTGTGTTTATCTGTTGCATGCTCCTAACTCCACTGATTCATTCCTTGAACTCTTTTTCTCAATCCTCTCGCTGCATCTCATTTTCTGTCTCTCCCACGCGCTCGCTCTCACGCCTCGCTCGCTCCCTTTCTCCTCCTCTCTCTCTCTCTCTATTTCTGCAATCCCAGGATGCTAACACATTTGATTTTGGATATATTTTATTTTCTTCTCTCAAGTATCTCCCCCTGCTCCCCGCCCTAGGAACTTCCTCTGCAGCCTGGAGAAGGAGGATCTGGAGGGCTTATGGAGTCTTTTCTCTGTTTCTATCCTCCCTCTTCAGGGCGGGCAGACTAAGGCATTGCTTACCTAAAAAATGAAGAGCCTGAACTGGAAATATAGGTCGATTTTTGTTATTTTTAACACTCTAGGGGGATAATTCAAGGCCCTGTTGTGGCTAAGATGGATGTTTGATAATCACAGAGGGAGTTAAAGGGGTGAAAGAATTCAGAAAATTAAACTTTAAGTCAAGATTTCTATCAAAATCATCTTTTTTTTTACATTCCTGTATTTGTCTGTCTCTCTCATTCTCTCTCTCTCTCTGCCCACATACTCCATATGTATTTTTAGCAGCCACAAGCTGGACCGCGATGTTAGCTTCACATATGCAGCGGAAACAGTAGACTCCTCACATTGCATAATCTGCCTGCAGATCTGTCCCTGTGCACACAACATGTCACCCTGTATGCACACTCATATCTGGTCATGTGACACCCGCTCTACCTGTCTGTTACCTCGCAGAGAATATCAGCTAAGGTTACAGAGCTGGCCATCATCCCTCCTCGCTGCACTTTTTCCCCCCTGGTGTGTGTAGGCGGAAAAATCAGAGTGATGGCATTGAAGAGCTGGAGGCACAATTATCCAGCTTCTATAAATGTCTTCATGCAGGCTGTTAGAAATGTCAGAGACAGGCTGCAAATGGACGCTTTCACTCGAGATTTGAGTGCACTGATTTAGGAAATGTGACTGAATGAAAGCTCGAAATAAAAAGGACTAAAAGGAGAATAATTAAGTTACCAGCGATGGAAGAAGTGTGGTGATTCTTTTTCTTTTTCATTCACAATGAAAAACATTTTGGACAGGACTTTTTGCATTAATTGCTTTCCATCCATAACTTTTTTTTGTGTGAAATCTACAGTAAGGTGTTTGTTTCTGAGATCTCAAAGTGAGTCAGCCGTGTGTTTAGTCACCTGCTGTGTTCACATGCTCAGCAGAGATCAGATAACACTCTGACTTCACCAACGCCTAAATGTTTGGCACCGTTTTAAGGTATGATAATACAACTTTTATTTACATAGCACCTTGTAAAACACAGGTTTACTAAGTGCTTTGACGTTCAGCAAAGCCAAAGAAACCAAACACAGAAGAACACAAACAACAGCAAGAATAGAGATGACGGCAAATAACAAAAATAGAGGTTAAACATTTGAAATGGCTCCACTTTGCAAATAAGGAGAGGAAATTTCAGCCTTTAGAAAATCAACATGGCAGAAGCATCAAGAAGAACTTGTCATGTGTGTCTCCTTAAAGAAAGTCTGGTCTGCAGGTAGAAATCACAAACAGATGATCACACAGGTTTAATATAAGTGCTGACAACTCCTGCACTGTGTGCAGCTCCATGAGAGCTGACAGGGAACATCTTTTTCTTGGCATGTGCATGGGATTTTTATCGATTAATCATGCAGCCCTACTTAGTGTTAAGTTCACATGCATTGCTCGGATAGCCGACTGCTGCAACAACATTATATTTCCTACTTTGGGATCAACAGAGAACATCTTTCCTTGCTTATATCCACCAAATGATCGACTAGTCTTTCAATTGTCTAGAGCATCCCACATGCATCTTCAATCTACTGCTGAGCTGAACAACCCTCATGCCTGTCATTCATGTTGTTTTACGTCTTTGTGGTGAACACTACTTTTATTGATTGATTTCATTTCTATATCAGTTCAGTTTTTTCTTCTTCACATTTCATCTTTATGAAGAATGCAATGTACAAGTGTTAAAAGTACAACATGTGAAGCTAATAAAAAACACATCATTAGGTAGACTAATCATGTGCAGCTTTACAATGTGTGCTCGAGACGCTAATGAACAACTTGAATGAGTTCGAGCTCACACTGAGCAACAAGACGAAGGTTATTTTCTGCATAATTAAGAAAGTACTCACTTCTCTTCCAGGACGCTCTTGTCCAGGCCGAAGCGCTCTCCCAGTCCCAGCTTCATCCCCAGTCGCGGCCCAAAGTGGATCCGTCCGAGCTCGCCCCCCGGCTCTGCCACCTGGCTCGCACCGAGATGGGATACGGCTTCAACCTCCACAGTGACCGGTCCCGACCCGGACAGTACATCCGCTCCCTGGACCCGGGGTCACCGGCGGATCATGCGGGGCTCCGACCGCAGGACAGACTGGTGGAGGTAAGAATAACACGCTATGTCAAAGGTCACAAAGTGTTACAGTTAGGCCTGCTGTATGTGTGTGATTGATAAGAACATAATGGGATAAGAAGTTGTGAGAAGCTGTGAGGGGGCAGTAAATTATCTGGCACCAACAAAACAAAAAGAAGATGAATGAGGGTTTTCATGCATTCCTGCACTCGGCCGACACAGCAGCACTTGGCAGGTTGTTGAGGGGATGGTGAAAAATGAGGACAAACACTAATGAGGTGATTATTGATAGATGGTTCTGGGTTAATCTGGTGCACATCAGAGAAGAGTCTGATCGAGTGGGTGTAGAAAACTCTCACCACTGCATTTTTGCCTCTGTGAAGAAGCATCACTCTTCTGTAGTGTCTGAACTCTTTGTACGTAGGAGTTTTTATGCGGTTATGCTTCAAATGAATCAATAAATACACCTTTGTCTTGTTTTATTAAGTATTGTACTTCATCTATATCATGGCCTCCCTTTCTAAAGGAGCTGCTGCTGCTATTTAAAATCTTTATTCTGAATGTAAAGTCAAGTCGAGGGCTTCAGAAAAAGTTTGTGACAATTTGAAATGATGCACTCTTCTCCCACACCTGATTGAATACAGATGTGACCCCCATCTCCAACATTATCACAGCTGTCATTAAAATGGCAGGAGTCACACTTGTGTCTGCTGTCAGGACGCTCTTTTGAATGAAAACAGGACCAGAATGCCTGGACTCAATCTTCACTGAGAGTCAGGATGGAGAGAGAGAGAGAGAGAAGAGGCCGGTCATAGGGGAGAGGGGAGGCACTTAAAATCAGTTTGAGGGGGGAGGGAGGAGAGGAGGAATTGTGTTTATGTTTGCTGCCTCTTGTAAAATCTAGAGAGAGTATTTCAAATCAATGAGAGAGAGAGAAAAAAGCAGCAGAGAGAAGAAACATGGACCAAAAAGAGGAAACTTCTTCATTAAAATCAGGCTGCAACTTTAAAACAGTCCTGCAAAGTCTAACAGTGAATTTATGAAGATAAAGTTCATAGACTCCAATTTCCAAAAAGGAGGGGGGGGGGGTATAAGAGTTTGGGTATTTAGGTAACCGTTTCCCTGTTCAAAAAGTAAAAGATGACACCCTTGTAGTAATATTCATGAGAAGATATTCCTCCACTGAGATAACTCACAACTCTCAACCTTCAGTCCCAAGACTTCTGACTTCATTAGCTGCAAATCAGGGTTCAGAGCAGGCTCAACAGGACCCCCCTAAAGGGTCTGATAGTGAAGTTAAACAGAGATCAGTCAGGATCACCTCAACATGAAGAAACATGCTCCAGATTTCTGCACGTTTTGGGTACATTTCCCATCAGACTTTTTGATTAGATTTCATAAATCTGCTGGTTGTATTTGATAGGAAATGTTAAACGGATATGCAGAGAGCTTATAGATGCTTCTCATGAAATTATACATCCCGGTTTACTGAACATGAATCTAAAGTATGAAAATGCAGTTTTAGGAAGAGAGTCGTCAACTAGCCTGCAGGATAAATTTAGCTCTTGCCTATTTGTTTGTGAAACAAATATCTTAGCTTTGCTTTAAGGCAAAAAAAACTCACTTTAGTATAATTTTGGGTGAATCTACTCAAACAACAAAAAGTGCAGAGAAAGCATTTCATGGCAGCAAAGCAGACACGTCTTGAAGTAAAGCTAGCTGTTTCCCCGTTTTCTTGCCTTCATGCTAAGCTAAGACGGTCACACAGGCATTCAAAAACAAACGTAGAGGACCGAAGTGCAGATTCAACAAAATATTTAATCAAACACAAAAGCTTACTTTTTTCAGTTCAAAAGACAAATCTCAACAAAAGTCAGCGGAACAAATACACATACATTGAACAATGAACTGAAACAGAAGGGAAGAAACTAGAGACTAAATACAGGGGTCAATCAAACACAGGTGAGACTGACGAGACACAGGTGAGGACAATCAGGCCACTTAAAAAAAAAGGAGGGAAACACAAAAAGGGAGGAAGTAAAACTAGACCAGAAACCTACAAAATAAAACAGGAAACACTAAAGACTAAACTGTACAAAATACACACAGGGAATAGACAAACATGAGGACAGGAAGTGACAAAATAAAACAGGAAATGACGACAAAATAAGGAATAAACAAATTAAACACGAGTGAATCATGACAAAGATAACCACTAATAAGCTATACGTTGTGGTTTTAATTTCTTCTCTGTATTGATCGTAGTCCTGAACAACCTTATCTGATGGTTTTTAACACTACCATTGAGTCCTTCATCAAATCCTCCTGTGCCTTCACTTCATCTCTGTTGTGTTGTTTTTTCAAACGAGGCCCCTGAAGGAGTTTTTTGTTCTTCATATTGAAGTTAAAGTCTTGTCATCAGCAGCAGATGCAGAACATTTTCTGTCTGCTGAGTGTGTGTGGGAACATCCTGCTGCAGGTCACTGATGACAGGAACAGATGTCACATAGAGCTTCATTTGTCCATGGAGACACTCAATGAGGATCGCATTAACATGCTCTCAAACAAATGAAGGATGAGGGGCCCTCGAGAAATGTATGTCAGTTAGAAGCAATTTTATTTGTTTGACTCGATGCATACATGAAGCAAAGTAAAGATGAGATGTCTGATAGTTCATCGTTTGATTACAGCTCAATTAACAAGCTTTTGAGTCACTTTTCAAGCAAAAACAAACTTTTACCAAGGTGGGAAATTACAAAGCCACATGACACACAATATGATATACTATTGTAAGAGATATTGTTGCTTTTATTTGTTGATATCATGGCAACCTGAATATATTTATAAAGAGGTCTTAAAGTCTTTATATGTGATTTTTCACACTTAAATGTAATATAAATCAAGTATATCCTCTGAAAATAACACCCGAGTCCCACTGTCTGTGATGTTTTCCGAGTCTTCCGAGTCCTATCTTCAGTTTGTTTACATCACCGGGACAGCTGGCTGACTCCTCCCCTCGTGTATAAAAGTTGTTTAATTGAGGGACTAGAGAAAAGAAGAATAACATACTGTACTCACTGCTTAACTGTGTTTCTCGCTAGCATTAGCATGCTAACACAACAATGCAGCGCGAGTTGTTTTGGTTTCATGCTGGTGCTCAAGGGCGACATCTGCTGGATCAAAAAATCGCATATAAAGCCTTTAAGTTACTTTTTAAAAGAGTCAACGGCGCCCAAAGGCAGAGCGTTCCAAAGTGTTGGAGGTACGACCTCAAAAGACTCTGTTGGTCTTCAGTCTGGAGTGTGAACCCACCAGCAAACCCTGATCAGAGGACCTGAGAGACCTGCTGGGAGTGTAAGGCCGCAGATGTTCTGTGTGGTAGGCTGGTCCATACAGGGCTTTAAAAGAATCTTGATTTGAAATTAAGGGGAAGTCAGAATCAAAGTGATGTGTGACCCTTTGGGGGACCTGGTTGATAGTCTGGCTGCAGCATGTTGAACTAGTTGTAAACGGTTGAAGGATGTTTCGATCAGGAAGATGAAAAGTGAGTTGCAGTAATGCTAAATGTTGGACTTAATAACAGCCTGATAACTGTATCTCTGTTTTTTTTTTAGTTCTGTTTGGACTGAAAATCTGAGCCTCTGATGACTAAGTTGGCTGCTTCATGTGTGTGTGTGTGTGTGTGTGTGATAGCTGTAACCGTCGATGCACCAAGACACCGCTTGTGTTATCTGTCAGCAGCTTGTTAGCGAGGCGAACAACCATGACAGATCTCCCTCTCCCGTTGTCTCTCAGTTTCTTTTTTCTCTCACCACGCCCCATTAACCCTGGAGGTGGATCATCAGCAGCGGCGAGCACTCAGCTTTGTGTGGATGTTTGGCAGAAGAGGCGGCAGTGAACGCCTCATCAGTCTGCCTGCTCTGACTGCATTCAAAACATTATATTCTGAACCTCTCACTTACTTCACAGGATGTACAAAACTGCATCACACTCACTTCTCTGTTTACATGTCAGAGGCTGCTTTCATGACATCCCACTAATCAGCACGCACACTTAATCCATCCTTGTCCACCTTGTAGAAAACCTTTCAAAGCAAAAGCTAGACCTTTTGTTTTTAACAAAGGATGTACATTTATGAACATAAAACTAGTGACAACACTCTTCGGTTTGTTGACTTCCTGTGTTTTATATTTTGCTCATACGCTTGTGAGTTTCTTTTGTTTTAAATGTTTGATTTTGGGCTTTTTGTTGATATAGCCAAAAATCTAAGAGAGAGAGAGAGAGAGAGAGAGTGGGAGAAGAGCCACAGGTCAGATTTGAACCCGGGCCGCCCGCTTGGAGGACTAAACTACCTCTGTACATGGGGCGCGCGCACCAACCACTACGCTACCTGCACCCCAGCGTGTTAATGAATCAAACTGTCATCAGCTTTAACTGAACACGGTCAAACCTTTCACTGTAAAGTAACAGAAATGCACTGAGTGAAGTCATTTTTACTGTTTCTTCTACTGTATTTTAGAGCTTAAAGAAAATACTAGGGATTAATATCTAGTAAATGAATGTACTAATGTGGATTTACAAAATATTCTAGCCACATTTTGACAGTTCATTACTGTAAATTATGTACAGAATGTACGCTGTAGATGAATCTTTGATGCGTTTCCTGTTTTTATTTTGCACAAATGAGAAAATGTGAGCATGCAAAGATGCTAAACTTTGACTGCCTTTTGTTGCAAACATCATACCTGCTAAACATCCTTAAAGCTGCATTGAATCATCAGCATTTAGCTCAAAGCATGCAGACGTGGTCAGGCAGAGATACACGGGTAATCAATGTAGGGCCTTAAAAATATATTTGTTTGTGATTTAATTTGATTTAAGATTTCATTTGTGATATGCAGACTGTGCCGCTCACTTTTCCCACCAGGAGGAACATGATGAGCAGTTATGAGAGCGTTAGGCCGTGCAGATGTTACATATCGGATAACAGGTTACAGCATCACCTGCAGGTTCAACGCAGGGCTCTGGTTTATGTCAACACCGACATTAAAAACACAAAGTGGAGACAGAAGGGTTAAAAGTCACACATGTGTCATCTTCACAGATGTGCAGACGCATCAGAAACAGTTTGTTTTGATCCAGCCAAGGCTCGTCTGCAGTTTCTCAAACAAAAAACACGTGTGTGTGCCATCGGGCTTCAGGTGGCCGTGACTTTGACGAAGCATGCACTTTTATACACACAGGCGCACAAACGCACACACACACACACACACACACACACACACACACACACACACACACACACACACACACACACACACACACACACACACACACACACACACACACACACACAGTGTTAGAAGTTTCCCTGAGGATAAAGTCCCTCGAGGAATAAGCGTCTGCGCTGTCCCTACAGCTCGTTTTAATTAGCCCAGTGGGCAGAGCAGAGTGTATTGTCTCGTGTGGGACGGACTGTTAATGAAGGGCTGTGAAACGTGACACAACACCTGTTGTTTGGCCCAACACAAAGATGCTTGTTCTCTCTGTATCACACAGTCTGTCTGCGTCCTCGGCTGACTGATGATGTCTGTTTTTATTTATTCCTTATCTGTCTGTTGTCAGTCCTGCAAGGAGAGGAGCGATCGTTTACTGAGAGAGAGAGAGAGAGAGGACGGTAGAGTCCTCTCTCTCTCTCTCTCGGTGCCATCAGTTTCGACCTTCAACATTCATTTGAAGCAGTTTCTTATCACCTTCAAATAAGAGCAGAATCCCCTCACTGCGTCCCGTCCTGTCATAATAAGTGGTGAGTTTTAAACAAATTCCCCCTCAGGATGTGACACCTGAAACCCCCGTCAAATAGCCGGAGCCCAGGAGAGCCATCAATAATAGATTGAGCACCAACACTAAGTTGGCGTGGTGCAGAGCGACCTGCCTCAGAGAAGCCCAGGTCTACACCAACACAGGCCTCCATGTGCACTCCGACTCCAGACCATCCAATATTTTCCGTTTTTGTTACGGGATTGTTGCAGCCCCTTTTTAAGTGTTTACAAGTTTTCCTTTAATGTTGCAAATTAAATCTCTTAAAGCAACACGAACAGCTGTTACAGGAATGTATGATTCAAAACACGAGTTTAGTTTAGTGTTGAGTTCTGCAGAAGCTTTTAGTCACGTCAAACAGTGCAGGATCAGTGAGTTGATCCACAGCTCCACCTGCTGGACGAAGGAGGCTGCACAGGCTCTCTGGGAAAAGGAGTCTTAGGTGCGCTGCTCCTGCAGGATGATCTGAGTCTGGGGGAGCTGGTCTCTTTAAAAAAAAATTAAAGTAGATTGAAGGTGTTGGAGGACGATGCTTCAGGAAGTAGATGCTTTGAATAATGACTTTTCTGCTCTGTGACTCAGGACATGCTGATCTGTGTTTTATGTCTGTCACTTGTTTATTGTGCTGCTGCCCCTCTTGGCCAGGTGACAACAACAGATAAAAGTGCATTTCCAAGTGACCAGTCGACTGATGTGGAGAGGTTCTGGTTGTAAAAGTTCTGAAGTCTAGCAGAAATCTGAAATGAAATAGGACTCAGGACTCTGGGGCTTGCTTGCTTGCTCACATTTTTTATCAGCCTGTTTGGGAGAAAATGGACAAAGTGAGTCACATTATTATTGCTTTTTTGCAACGTGGAGACATGCCTTAAGCTCTCTGACTAAGTGATGTCTGGCCTGAGGATTGTTTTGGCTGCAAATAAACTTCTTCACACACACACACACACTGGATCTAATTATGAAAGCTCTGTGGAAGTAGATGAGGTAGTTACCCTGAGGAAGCACACAACAGATCCATGCTTCTTTTTACATGTTCTGTGCACGTGTCTCAATAAGGGCAACAGAGCAAAATGTTTGTTTGTAACTGATGAACTCGTTGTGTGTTCTTGCTCTACATCTCATGTGTGCAGCTCAGTCAGAAAAATTCTAAAAATGAAATTGAATTTAGGTTAAATTTCAGCCTAAAGAAATCATCAAATCTATCTGACTAAATAAAGGATTAAATGCAGGTTTTACGTCCACATGCAGGTCAGTGAAGGCATCATTCCTTTGTGTTTTGAAAAGCCTTTGTTAGCATGTTTCCAGAGATCTTTGGACTCCAGCTGTGGCTGTCAGATGGCTTCTAACATTACTTTAGATATCCCTTTAATATTTTTGCACAGTCTGAGCTTCATACAAAAACCCTGTTTCTGTTTCTGTTTCTGTTTCTGAAGGTAAACGGTGTGAACATCGAGGGCATGCGGCACGCGGAGGTGGTGGCCTTCATAAAGAAAGGTGGAGACGAGACCTGGCTGCTGGTGGTGGACCCCGACACGGACGACCACTTCAAGAGGAGGGGGGTCGTCCCCTCTGTCAGCCACATCAAGGGTAGGGATGCATTTACAAAAGACGCTGTGATACATGCTGATTTAAACTTTCATAAACGGATGCTTCACTTTCTTGTGATTTTAAAGAAAGTGCATGTTTTTTGTTTGTTTGTTCTTAACAGACTACGACGGTCCGTCCATATCCAACGGCTCCCCCAACCTCAGATGAATGGCAGCTCCACCACGCAGTCCATGCGGTCGACGCGCTCCGACCTGAGCAGCCAGGGAAACAGCACACAGGTGGGTGGTGACAGAGATCATGCATTTAGCTGAATTCACATCACAGTCTGTCCTCTCAACCTTTCTGTCCGTCTCTATCTCTCTCCCCCTCCCCAGCTGGCGGATGAGGAGGGCAACCGGCTGCTGGACCCGTTTGCCGAGATGGGTCTGAGTCTGAGCGCGACGGCAGCCGAGGAGAAGATGAAGGTCCACTCCAAAGAAAAGAGGAAGGCGCCGCAGATGGACTGGATGAAGAAGTACGAGCTCTTCAGCAATTTTTAAGTCATTCCTCTTTAACGACGTCAAAGACAGAGACAGGAGCTCGCCGCAGCCCTCTGCGTGGAATGGGATTGTGTCTGGAAGGACGTCCCGCTTACTTACACAAATCAGAAACAGAACAACAGAGGATGTTGACAAACGCAAAAAAAGAAGTTGTTGGATGGATTTAACTTTTTTTTAAACCGCTGCAGAGAGCCAGCTGCTTCTCCCTCTTCAAAGTGATTACAGACTGCGATATTCAAACTCTTTTCAATGGAGAGCGCAAACGGGAGTGTTGCAAATATATTTTTCACATATTCTCCTAAATCTGCATCCTCCCATGATCCTCCCATCCTCCCACGCTGCAAGAGACCGGTTTCTAACAAATGAAGGAGACGTGTATTTTTATATGAAAAAAGGATGAATAACAAACAGAAGCCCGTCATCATCATGTACTGCATTTTTCAGAGTTATATGGACACTGTGACATTAATGATTGTGGACATGGTGGGGGTCAGAAGATCACTGTGAAGGAGGAGAGACCCTCCAGCACACACGCAGAGGACAGAGCGCCGTGTGGACTGTCCCTTTAAAATGTATAACATATGCTTTTTTTTCTGCTTTTTTTTTTACTCTCGTATAGAGTTAATGAACTGATTATCAGATACGCCTTTACTTTACTCAACAATACTTCATGTTACATGTTATTTAGAACTCGTTTGTATGACGTGTGTCACCACTAACCTCTTCTCCAGAAGTGCTCCAGAACGAAGGGAAGCACCACTAACTCTACGTCTTCATACAGTTTTTTTTTTTTTTTTTTTAACGTAGAAGAAAGGAAGATTTCTCAGGACAAACGAGTGTGTTATGTGGAGACGGCTTCATGTGTTCTATAAAGGGTTAACGGCACCACAAATAAAGGCCACACTTGTCCTGAAAGTGAACAGAGTGGATGTTAAAGGGGACATATTATGAAAATTCTGACAGTGTTTTTGAACATATATTTGGGTAACCTGAGTGTCTACCGACCAAGAAAATGTGAAATAAACCCATCCAGTCCTTTTGTTTGTGGTCTGCAGAAGTCTTACAACACAAAGAAAAATGTTTTGTTTCAAATTTACTCTCCTTGTGATGTCACAGTGGGATTCTGGTGAAAAAAAAAATCCCCTCCCCTCCCCTGGTATCTCCACCCATGGACTCCACCCCCAGCCTAGAGCAAATATTTTGCACAGGTCCGCCATTTTTATTCTCGCTAGTGAAGGCGTGATGTCTACCGGGAAAACTCAGTGGGGGGTCATTGCATTTAAAGAGACACACACACCAAAACGGAGACATTCTGAGAGAGCTGGTTTATACTGGGTCACAAGCCTCCTCTGGTGCTTGATTCATGTTATATTTTGACCAAAGCAAAGCACAGATGTTTCATTTAGGCCACAGGGGGACTTTTTGAAAAGGTTGAGAAGGGGGATGATATGTCCTCTTTAAATCAGCTGTTAGGTTGACACTGAATCCAACTGAGACTCAGTTAGGAAGAGAAACTTCATGTCACTTTGCTTTCATCGTCTCAGACGTACTACATCTTGTTGTGGCTCGCTACATTATATGAAAGTGAATTACAGTTTTTAAATGTAACAATAGATTGGCATAAAACTTCCTGTAAATCTACAATTTGTGACGTCTACATTCATCTGACTGGACAAGCAAGATGTGAATCGAGCTTTTGAGGTGCTAGAAGAAAGATTTGTTTTTATTTGAAGAAATGATTTTTGGCCGTTGTGCCGTCACTCGATGGTTAGGCAGAAGAGAGACAGAGAAGATGTCTGTGAGAGGATGATGTTCAGCAAAGGACCTCAGTCTCTGGGCTGCTGTGATTGGACGCAGCCAGGTGAGCTACTGTCCTACCTGAGAATGTCTTTGGAAGTGGTTTGAGAGCAAAGTGTGGAAAGAAAAGTAAAAATCTGAAAGAGTATGCAATCCGACTTCAAATGTTTATTTCTTTTGTTTCTTTTCTTATTCCAAGTGAAATAAAAGTGATTCAAATGTATTACTGCAAAAAAGAAAACATGCCTGCAAAAAAAATCATGTTTGCAATTAAAACTGCTTTGTTAGCATTTCCCCCAAAATGTATTTTGAAATCCAGAAGTTTTGTTTTTGACAGAAATTAAAGTTTGCACCATTTCTTCATCTACTTTGACCACATTGAGCGACCAGTCATCCACCTTTTTTCTATACTTTCCTACTTTTTTATCCAGCTCCAAAGACGGTGAATTGCAGAGGTCTCACTCTGATCAAAACGGACCGTAAAGGACATGTCCTACATCTTTAAACACAAATCCAAAACCGAGAGATTCAGCTCAACTGCAAGAAAAACCCAAACATATTTTATTTGCAGTTTTAATCACACATTTTATTCAAATTGCAGGAGCATTTTTTTTTTATCGCAGTATTAATATATTACTATCAAATGAATTTTTTGCTTGCATTTTCGAGAGTTTGGCTCTCAAACCTTTTTGAGTTTGATAGTTTTCATTTTTACCACCCAGACATCAGAATCACACAGAGATCTGCTCGTTTTAACTTTTTTAACCAGAAAGCCATAAACAAAATGTTGTGCTATTAATGAATGTAACGATGACCAGGAAGGAAAGCGCGAAGGCTCATTGGTGCAACAAGCATATTTGCAGCTATGGTTATCAAAGTGGGACTGATACGATGTGATCAGAGAAGGTGCAGGAGGAGGAGGTCAGAGACGCTCTGGAGGATCTATGAGAGGAGACAGAGGGAGCCATGGAGCTAACTGAGGATTATTACACATACAGAGACAGCTGCCACACATTCAGAGCACAATGTGTGTGTGTCTGTGTGTGCAGAGAAGATGTACACACAGCAATAAAGCAATGTAAAAAATGGGATCGTAATAAGTGAATCTGCACTCAGTCAGAGAAATGTCAGTCGTCCTCTTTGTGGTTATTCTGTCCTTTTTGTACTCTCCCTGACTCTGTATCTTCTCACAGTACAAACTCTGTTACCATGTCTGATGTATATACAGTTATATCATACAGAATATATGGAAGGTTGCATATTTTTCAATAAAGTGTGACGGCGTTTTTTGGAATACATATGAATCTGTTTTTGTCTTTTGTTTCCTGTTCTAGCGTGGTTTTCCATCGCAGTGATCAGGTCCACAGTTTTTTTTTTCTCTATCATTTCTCTCTCGCTCTCTCATCCCATCTCTGTTTTTCAGGATTATGTCGGCGATCAGTTTCAGTTTGAGCCCGTTCTCAGGATTCTCCACCGGCCAGCTGCTGCTTTCAGACACAAAAGGTCAAACAGAGGTCAAAAGTGTGTGTGCGTGTGTGTACTTTCATTTGTGTGTGGTTGTATGTTTGTCTGAGTCTGCGTATTTATCACTCCATTAGTTTGTTCTTGAAACAAAGTAAAGACTCCACTTGTGTCCGAATTAATATGAATCATCAGGAAAATGTGACGTTAAAAGAAACTGAAGAGATGAAAACTAAACGTACCATCAAGCAGGAGAATGTTTATGTTACATGTCCAAGTGTTGAATTGTGATTTACACGATCACTGTATTCCTTCTTTTCTAAAAATCTTTGCAAAAAATTTGTGTCTTCATTAAACACCTGAGAGGTTTCTGAGAGGCAGGATTGTCTCAGCGGTAAACTCCCACTCACTGTCTAACAAACAAAGATTTAACAGGAAACGTTTCGGTGCTGGACGTTCATCAGGCAACCAGTTTGTAAAAATGGGCCGGACATCTTAAATAGGAAGTCTGCAACCAATCATCATTATGACGTCAGATCTGAATCAACAAATTAACAGACTAATAAACATCAGCTTCCTGTGAGAGCACACACACCAAAACAAAACAAAACAACAACAGAGAGCCTGATGAGGCGATCCTGAAGTAACTTAATGATTCATAATCTCCAGTTCAGGGGACACTGAAGGTCCCAAAAAAATAAATCATGATCCAAACACAAAATCAGAAACGTAGCAGTCAATCAAACGGTCAAAATGACTTATATCATATTTCATACTTAGTCATGTACAAATCCCTCATAAATTGGTTGGTTGGAAGGATTGTGGTGGAACCTCTCGTGAGCCGTCTTCATGTGGTGAATCTGTCATTTTGATAACCTTCACAAAATTAACTTTAAAAAAGGTAAATATAAAGATAATAGAAAGGATGGATTATGTTTGAAGCGAGTACAATTAAATTAACAATGCAGTCACTAGAGATACAAAAAAATAGTTTTTTTTCTAAATGATTACAAAAGGAATAAAGGAAATAAATAATGATTTAAATTATGAATATGAATTTATCTGAGGGATTGTTTAAGAGTGAATTTAAGAATAAAACTGATTTGAATGCCTTACATTTTCTCTTGTAGGACAGACAAATGCACTGTAATTTTCTTACTATCCAAAAAAAGGACAAGGAAAGAAAACATCCTTATTGTCCACTAGGTGGCACACTTTCCGCAATAAGCATGTAGGAAGTAAGACAAAAAGTGTAAGCGTGCACTTTGAGGTGATCTTGGTGGAAATGTAAAGCTGCACGTGGGCACATTATCAGGCTCCCTGGAGGTGACATGGAGGCCGAGCGGTGACGGCAGCACATCAAAGGACGGGGCCGGTTCAAAGCAGTCTGCAATTTCAGCGCCGTAAAAAGAGACAGAGAACAGAGGCAGAGAATAGAGCCACAGGTGGGCACTTTCTGTTTATCCTGCCTCAGCCAGTGCACACATTTCTCCTGACTATTGGTGATAGCTGATTGCTTTCCTCGCCCGCCCTGGTCTCTGTTCTCCTGCAGGCTGCTGGACTTTTTACTTTAACTCATCTGTATAAGCAATTTTTTCTTTTTAACACATGCTCTTTCTGCCTCGCTTCAATCAGTTTTCTGTGCATCTCAAATTCCCCTCTGTCCTTCTTCCACCAGGTTCAGTTCCCCACCTCTCCACCGCCATGCCACCCAAGTTTACGGTGCCACCCATAAAACCGTGCCAGGGCTGCCCGGGATGCAGCGGTGCCCGCAAGGAGGGCGAAACCAGAGCCCAACAGGGGGAAAGGGGGGAGGAGGGGGGGGTGAGCGAGTGCATCCCCATGGCAACCGTGTGTTTTTGTTAGCGCTCGTGAGTCATACAAGCAGTGACTCACAGTCAGGAGGAAACACACACACACACATACACACAGTCACATTCATACTCACACTCCCACTCAGCCGAAGGGAAGCCAAATAAGGACAGCTACACCAACATGTACAGAACGAGAGAGAGAGAGAGAGAGAGAGAGAGCAGGAAAAAAAGAGGACAAGAGAGGGGGAAAGAGTTTGATAATTTGTGCTGACCAAAAAAAAGAAAAAGTTGCAAGTAAAAGAGATGAGAGAGGAAAGAAATAAAGAGGAGATAGCATGTGCTATGAGGAGGGAAGCCAAGAGGCAGAGGGCACGAGTGCGGGCACATACCCTCTCCCAAGAGCACCCTTCACATGGGTGGGGGGAGCGGAAACACACACACAGACACACCCAGTGTGTGCACACCTTGGCTTAACTCGCTAAACCACCCATTCATTGTCTGACGCCTACACATTAAGGAAGGCCGCCTTGTTCGCTTTTGAGCAACTCACTTTGCGTCGGTTTGATTTTGTTTTTTGGGTAACAAACTTTGGAAAAAAACGTTTTAAAAAGTTAGAGGATGAGCGGAGATGTGTGTGTGTGTGTGTGTGTGTGTGTGTGTGTGTGTGTGTGTGTGTGTGTGTGTGTGTAGTGTTTGCTTTTCTGTATCATGTCATGCTTTTGCATCATGAAAATGAGCGATTTGATTATTCCCAAGCTCATCATGTCTGCTCCTCCTGGCCAGTGTTCTGGTGTATTTTCCCACGGCCTGTTTGTTGTAGCACAATAGTTCTTACACAGGGGACATGTCTGATTTCACTGACTTTGTGAACACGGAGAAGTCTGCAGGTTTATGTGTGATTTACATATATAGGGCTTTCACACTTGCAGATA